CAACAATGAAAGATGTCTCAGTGACTATACACTGGCTGACCCTTTTGTCATGGACCATATTTTCTGCAATATAAGGCGCACATTCAATGATTGGCCCATTTAAAAAAAATTTTTAATATATAAGGCGCACCGCATTATAAGCCGCATAGAGTAGAAGCTCCAGTAGTGGCTGGGGTTGCGTTCTGCATCGACTAGATGCTGCTGCACTAAAAAGAATGTCAACAAAACAGTCAGATAAGTCAGTCAAACTTTCTTCTGCACCATTTATTAGTTAATGTTGAATTCTCTAGCTGCTGCTCTATTCCCATGTCCTACTGCGTGACCGATAGCCTTGAGTTTAAACTCTGTGTCGTAAGCGTGTCTCTTGAAAGGGGCCATTTTGGGGACACAAACGTATATCCCAGCATGGGATTTTTTTCTACGGGAAAAAATGGAGTCTGCGGCTGATTCCTGTAGTTGCCAGACCTGTTACAGCCCAATCTTGATCCATATATAAGGCGCACTGTTGGTTTTTGAGAAAATTGAAGGCTTTTAGGTGCCTTACAGTGAGGAAAATGTGTAGTTGTTTACCGAGTTGAGGGTCACAGAAACAATTAAATCATTGCTGCGTCCTAAACTTGGCAGGGTTCTCTCGAAGGAGTTTCTCTGCTAACTCATCCAATCATGTGACTCCCTGGCCAGTCAGCGGCCTGCCGTCGCCCCAAATCAGCCCGCTTGGAACCCCAAGCCGAATAGAAGCTAAAATTGTGACTGTGAGGACACGCCAGGCGCTTGTGGAAGTGGGAGTGGAGCCAGTCAGTGGAGCCAGTCTGTAGTATTAGTAGTAGTAGTTTTCTCTGGGGGAAAAGCAGTCGACTACCGATTAAAAGATCGGTGGTTCGTCATCGGGCTCCTCAGGCAGGACGCTATGTCGCCTACTGATGCATCCACTGGGGGGTGTGTGTGTGTGTGTGTGTCAGAGAGCCTTTGAGTGGTCTGGCTCTGTAACTACAGTCCCTTTACCGTTCATATGTTTGCGTGTTCCATCCAGGTGATGCTGTGTGGCATGCAGGAAGTCGACCTACAGGACTGGCAGAGAAATACGGTGTATCGTCACTACACCAGAAACAGCAAACAGATCATCTGGTTCTGGCAGGTACCGTCTCCCACTACACACACACACACACACACACACACACACACACACACACACACTCACATACAGACATTGATGTCCTATTACACACTTTGCCCACAAAGTATTTGTTTATTTAGGTCCTTTGTGTCTCTGATATTAACGGAACTTTTTGTGTTTTTCTCTTCCTTTTATTTCCTTATTGTTTTACCTTAGTTGGTGAAAGAAGTGGACAACGAAGTCCGACTGCGGCTCATGCAGTTTGTCACGGGAACCTGCAGGCTTCCTTTGGGCGGCTTCGCTGAACTCATGGGTCAGTGACGCAAAGACACTCCGCCCCTCACACACCGAGAGATCCGCCGCTCGAAGAACTATTTAAAACCTGCCTGAGTTTTATCTTGTTTTTATTTTTTTGTGCGTTCTCTTTCTGTTTCCCATTTTGCAGGAAGCAACGGGCCTCAGAAGTTCTGCATTGAGAAAGTGGGGAAGGACACATGGCTTCCTCGTAGCCATACCTGGTGAGTACTCTGCCGCACCTTGGAAGTCTTTTAAAGGCCTCGTGATTTTGAATAGATGTGACCTTGATGGAGTTCTGGGGTTTTTGTTTGAATTGAAAGTGTCAAACGCAGTTGATTCTGCATTATGTTATGCTGCTTAAGTGGTTGTGTGTTCACTATTTTTGCCATGGGAATGTCATGAGCAGGGACAGTGAGGGGGGTTTAACATAGATGTTTTTACCCCTAGACAGGGCAACTGCTGTGTGAAAGAACCTACAGTGGTACCCAGTTTGAATATTCCAGTTGCATGACGTGAAAAAAGTGCCTGATGAGGGAAATGTGTGAGAACTCCTGTGGCCCCAGAGTAGAGCTCTGGGGAACTACAAAATAATCTAGTTTCCAGAGTTTTATTTGCTACTCAGAGGGGTTCCAAAACTTTATCCAGCTTAAAGCGATCGACCAAAGCAATCGCCTCGGCTCCCAAAACAGGCAAAGAGGTGCTCATCGCTGGGGCCGACGGACGGCATCCTAAAGAGCTATAAATTTGTGTTTGTTTAGTCTAAAACTCCGGAGGCCTCTTCTCTTGCTGTCCTCCAGTTGTGTAAAGACTGTCGAATGACCTCTGTGTTGTATTTATCAGCCTTTGATATCATCAGCCGGTTTATAGAACGCTTTTGACAAGTGTTCGAATCCCACTTGTGTAGAAGTACCATTTCAGGTTTAGAAATGCCTGAAATACACTCTGATTCGACTCTAATCCAGCTCCCTTTCCTTTAGTACCACTACCTACTCATCATGACTCGAATCGACCAAACTCAACTCTGTTTTGTTTGTTTTCCATTTGGTAAACAAAAATGTTTTAAATTTTGACACCTTTTTTTCCAAGCAGGACCTCAGACAAAGTTAAGAGACGCGTCACATCACCTCTGCTCCTCCGTTTTTGTCTTTTCAGCTTCAACCGGCTGGACTTGCCCCCCTACAAAAGCTACGAACAGCTGAAAGAAAAGCTGCTATTCGCCATCGAGGAAACCGAAGGATTCGGCCAAGAGTAGAGGGACGAGTCCGCGTGCGTTTCCCTCCATTATGCCCTCGCTCTTTATTCAGCCATTAAAAACAAACTAAAACAAACACACACAAAAAAAGAAATTGCACAAGATAACCACCAATGTATATAAGCTATTTTGTCATCAAACACCAAATCCTAATTTGCACCCCCCCGCCCCCCATATATTACATAACCCCCCCCCCCCCTCCCCCCATGAAATTATCCAAGCATTTCAGCATCCTGCTCTTCTGTTTTTTACAAACAGAAACTTTTGTTTTTTTTTAAGCATCCTCCCCACTGCTGACTGGCTTTTAAAAGAAGAGACAAGTGTATTTTTTCTTTTCTTTTCTTTTTTTTTTTGGGAGAGGATTTTATAGTCGAAGCGCAATCTTCTTTTAAAGCTCTAGTTCTATAGAGCTCGTGAAAGGCAAAAGTAGAATATTAGAGTCCGGTGCCTGAAGGTCTTTATTTGTCCTGTCGGATGGGACCCACAGTCGTTGTGACGTTTTTTCGCGTGCTTGCATGCTGCCTACGAAGAATACCAGACTGTGACGGCCGCCCTCCTCCTCCACCGCGCGCACACGCACGCAGACATCCGAGCATGGATCGCCAGGTCCCCAGGCGGAGTCGAGGGAAACGGCTTCGACTCCCCCTATTCAAGCCTCTTTTTTTTTTATTTTATTTTTTTTAAAAATCTATATCAACAACTATGGGGACTTAAAATGAAAAAAGAAAAAAAGATGCTTAAGAAACTGAACTGATGTACTAAGCTTTTTTGTGAGCGTGTGTGTGTGTCTGTATGAGTGTGTGTGTGTGTGTGGGGGGGGGGGGGGGGGGGGGGGGGTGGATCCTGTGGTTTTTAAGGTTCACACCAGACATCCAGGACGCGTTCCAGCCGAACTGCAGCCTGCTTTGCACACTGTGACAAAACGAGAAAGAAGAGGAAGCTTTCCGGCGGTAATTTAGAAAGAAGGGGGTGACACAATAATGCATTTGAAAACAAACTATCAAGAGAATGAACCCAAACAAAAAAATTTGTTTTTTTTAAAAGAAAGAAAACCAGAACCTGTGCTTCATCTCTTGTACTGGGACTTTTTTTTTCCTCTTCTGGAATCAGAAATCAGTCGTCCCCAGTCCTCTTAAGCTGTTGTGTTTTCTAGACGTGGTTATTCTCATTCAGTAACATTAGCTGACATTAACCCCCCCCCCCCACACACACACTTTTAGCTGGCATACTTCCACCCTGCTGACAGGACTGTATTGTACTAAACTGAATCTTCTCATCGGTGAAGGCAGAGCAGATTGAAAGTGGCCCCGTTGAGGAAGAAAAAGGGGGAGATGGAGACCAGAGAAGGGGTCAGTGGAAAGTCTCAGGAGCTGGCGGTCAGTCTTAATCACGGCGTCCTGTAGGTAAAACTGGGGGGGGGGCAGGGCGATGAGAATCAGTGCTTCCTGTCACCACTTTAAAAAAAAAAAGAAGCGTGTGTGTGAGTTGAATGGAGAGAGAACCCAAACATGATCAACTCCCCGCAGATGGATATCTGCGATGCCTTCGTTCTTATCAGAAACAGCCGGGGGGGGGGGGCCTTTCGGGACCGGCGGTGAACTTTGGTTCAGGCCGCCTGAAACGCGCTGCCCCCCCCACAACCCTGTAACATATCGCGTGTAGATACACACTGTAAACACCAACCACACTGTACAGAGCGCCCCTCTACTGGAGACCATGTGTATAGAAGATTCATTTTTAATCTGCTCTCGCCCATTTTAAATGGAGAGAGATGGATTTATGAGATAGAATTAAATAACTGAATAAACCCCCTCTTTGGCCGTGTTTTGTTTTTCTTTGGGGGGGGTTGTTTTCTACAAAAAGGGACACAAAAAACTCACCACAACAGATGATACTTGCTTTATTAGTGCTTGTGTTTTTACTTTATACAGAATCGATTCAGTTATGTTGAACTATGATCAAACTGGCACAAAGCTCCACTGTCCTGGTTCTTATTTTTAAAAAACAAGAAAAATCAAAGTGAATGAGGGTGAATTTTGACTTTAAGTTCAGTTAATGTAAACCTGGAAATCTGAAATATGATTTTAAAAAGGGAAAAAAACAACAAAAGAGAGAACGGGCACTTAATTGATAACATCTCTTAATCGGTTGTAATTCAAAAAGCACTCAAATCCAACCAGGACTTGGACAGAAAGGCATTTTACAGGGTGTCTTCAGCACCCGTTTCACCCTCCGACTGCCAACCGGACGATCTCCGAGAGGCGTCGGCCGTGGAGGGGGGTGCGAAGGTCCAGCAGGTCGCGGTCCGGAGAGGCCCGGTCATCCAGGTCCAGGCCTTCAGCCGAGCTTCTTCAGCAGCTCCACGGCCTCCTTGTGGACCTGTGGGGGAGGAAAACGGATGGGATGGGCTGCCAACAGGTAGGCGCTGAGCCCCCGGAGGAGAACTGTTTACACACCTCCCTGTCCTCCGCGGTGTGGGCGGGGTAGTCCCTGGCTTTGGTGAGCCACATCTGGGCTTTCTGCTGCTCCTTCAGGGCCAGGTACGTCTTCCCCAGCATGAGGAGGTTTTTACTGTAGAAGTTTGGGTCGACTGGGAGAGGAAACGTGATTAGAAATAGAATAAAATCAATGAAAAACCCCTGATTCAATCTTAAAGCCAGCCCAGAATCTTTTTAAGGTCCCCTCATACCTTCCTCTGCTTTCAAAAAGAATTCCAAAGCCTGAAAGAAGCACAAAGACGGGGTGGATTCAAACTCGCCAACAGGTGTCGGCCGCCTTCCTTTTGACAGGAGAAGCTCGAGAGGAGACGGGCAGGAAGGCTCACCTCCTGGAACGTGGACGTGGGCGGCGAGGAGAAAACGACGGCCGCCACTTTGCGCTGGTACCACGGCAACTCGGCAAAAGCAAAGCACCTGGAGCGGAAAACACAAAAGAGAGAGGAACACAAAGGTCTGTAGATCTGTTGTGGGGCGATTCGTTTTATGCCGACTGGAAGATTTCGGGAGTTACTGGAAGCCTTTAATAGGATGTGGCTACTTTGTGTCCAGAGTCTGGAAAGAACGCTTTTTAATATTTTTCTCCTGAGGGTAAAAAAAAAGACTCACCAGTAGCCTAGAATGTGTAAGGATGTGGCGTCTTTGGGGTTGAGCTGTATGGCTTTCTGGGAAGGAACGCATCACAGTTCAGAATAAAGTAAAAAATGCGGATTTTCCATTGTGCGTAGGACAATTAATAAGAATGTCTCACCTCCAGATGCTCCCTGATGATGTATGAATTTCCGATTTTAACCTTGACCCCCTCATAATCCCCGATATCGCTGAGGCACACGGCGTACCACTGCGCCAGGAGAGAAGAAGAAGAAGAAGAAGAAAATTATTTTTCAGAGCCAGAACAGGATGGGGGCCCGGCCCCGGGGGGGTCCCCATCTTACTTTGTGCGCGGCGAAACAGGAGTCGTCCTTCTCCAGGGCCCTCTGGGCGAACTGGAAGGCCTCAAACGTCAGCCGCTTCTTCTGCTCGGCCTCTGTGTCGGGCAGCAGCGCCAGGTCCCGCGAGGCCCGGGCCAGCCGCCACAGGAACTGCGCGTCCTCGCTGGACGGGAGGAGCGGTCAGTGTTAACGAGCTGTCCAAAGCTGACAGCTCTAAGCTGTCCAAAGCTTAGAGCGGGGTCAGACCTGAGGTCAGACCTGAAGTCAGAACCGGGGTCGGACCTGAATCAGACCCGAGGTCAGATCAGGGGTCAGACCTGGGGTCGGACCTGAATCAGACCCGAGGTCAGATCAGGGGTCAGACCAGCCCAGGTCCAGACCTGAGGTCAGACCCAGATTCAGACCTGAATCAGACCCAGGGTCTGACCAGCCCAGGTCCAGACCTGAGGTCAGACCCAGATTCAGACCTGAATCAGACCCGGGGTCAGACCAGCCCAGGTCCGGACCTGAGATCAGATCAGGGTTCAGACCAGCCCAGATACAGACCTGAGGTCAGATCAGGGGTCTGACCTGGGGTCGGACCAGCCCAGGTCCAGACCTGAGGTCAGATCAGGGGTCAGACCCAGGGTCAGACCTAAATCAGACCAGGGGTCGGACCTGAGGTCGGACCAGGGGTCAGACCAGCCCAGGTCCAGACCTGAGGTCAGATCAGGGGCCAGATCAGGGTTCGGACCTGAATAAGACCGGGGGTCAGAGTCAGACCAAGGGTCAGGAATGAACTAAATTCTATTAAATGTAAATAAATAAACTGAACCAGGCACGAGAAAAAAGGGAAATAAAATCAAACATTCTCAGGCTGCAGGTGGCAGCAGTTGTCCAGGTCATGGAAATGAAAAAAAAAGCTTGTGAGAAAAATAAAGCCCGAAACCCCAAAGGCATCAATAGATCAGGTGTGAATGAATAAAAAACCGTGAAGTTAAACTGGACGCGTGATGCGCGTGACCCGGGAGGCGCGTACCTGTCTTTGTGCTGGGCCAGCAGCTGGTAGAGCTTCTGTGTGTCCGCGCAGCTGTACAGGTAGTCGGCCTGCTCCAAAATCTCCTCTGAGTGGACGAAAAACACGCGGAAAGTCAAGTTTCCCAAAAAGGCCCTGGAACCATCCGGGGTCCCCTGGCCATACCTCTGTCCAGCGCACTGACCACGGCGGAGCTCTGCGCCCTGCGGAGAGCCTCGTAGCCCAGACAGGACACAGCAGGGACGCCCAGGACAAACGCAGCCCGGCCACTCTGCAAACAAGAAAAGGAAACCACAAAAACAATCACACCTCCACATACAAAAGTAGGGCAACGAAACATAAAAGCTCTAGGTTGCTTTGGGCTGCTCTCCAAGTTATGAACAGAGGGGACAGCTGACCTGTTGTAGCCCAGGTGGTCACTGAGCTGGACCTTTATTTAAAAGTATAGAGATGATTCTCATTAGTTAAACAAAACTAATAAATAGGCTCCCATAGATTTGAACGCATCACTGTCATATCCTCCTGTTGAGAGCTGCTCAGCCTCTCTGAAACCATTAAAACCACGGTGCCCTTTAACCCACATACAGGGGGGCATTTTCTAGACACCGCCATCACGAAGCCTAATCTCCTGGCCCCAAAAAACCCTCCCAGCGTTTTGCAGGATAAAGAGTTTGACACAGGACACCCCAAAAATGTTGAGAGGTGAGTTAACGAACAGGCGACTTTATTTATTTACACTCAGGCCACTGACAGTCCGCCGGAAAGCCGTCCAGTAGTGGCGACCGGTCCCTCTGGTGGGGGCGCTTTTGCTGCGGGATGCAAACTCCAGGAAAGTCCGCCTCGCACACCGCGACAACACTCTCACAGCCATCGTTAAGTCCATTCTCAACGCAAAATGATCGGGAGTTGCGGTGGCGCTGTAAACCTTAACCCAGGGGGCATCCCGCAAACCCAGAAAAGGGTACGTTCAAGAGCACAAACACCGACGGTTTCAAAACGCTGAAACCGGAAGTGTGTTAAAAGACGGATAAAAAATAACGCCCGAACACAGCAAAGCTTAAAAAACAATCGCTAGTGCAAGTTATATGTTGGAAAATACACAAAGCAACATTGTTTTACTGTAGCTAGTACTGTGTGTGATGCCGACGACTTAAAGTTGTTGCGCCACGGTAAGTTGCTTTTCGTGAATGTATCCCTAGCGTAGTTTGTACCATTGATGTCCGACCGAGGAGAAACAATTGGAGCTTCCAATGTTCCTAGGAAATGTCAGTAAATACCCTAATATTAGATTGTGTTTTTTCCAGTGTTATTGCTACTGTGAAAGGTACACTATACACAATGAAAAATTGACTGTCGGACTGGGTCCGTGTACCTTTCGTTCAGGTGTTTTTTTTCACTGAGAATTTAGAAAATGGGGGGAAAAACTTATTTCATCATTAATTTTTACTTTAAAACACAATACAGAACCATCCTCTCCGATCTTCTCAGAAACATCACTGAGGCCGATTATTTGCTAGGCTAAAACAAAGTAGGATTTTTTTATCAACCAAAACATAACTGTTTAATTGTTCTCTGGGTATTTTCAATTAATTTCTACGTGCAGTCATTTTTTATTTGTCTAGGAATTGAGTAATTACTACAATTTCCGTCTTGTTTATACAGGTTTATCGACTATTACATAGGTTTATCTGCCTTTTAGTCCGAAAAAATAAAGGATATTATGGATAGTTAAAAATGCCAGATATGTGGTGATTGGTATATTAAATCTGAGCACAGATTCCAAAGATGTGTCTAAAGGACTTGCCCAGAGAAATATAAAAAATTTTAAAAACTTTTTCTTTTCTGTGCCACTTAAGACAAAACCTTTAATCACTGTTAAACTTGGTATTTTTTTTGACCGGTACGAGTAAACTGGTTCTTAATTGTTTCCTTTCCCAGAAACAAACCGTAGGGCTCTCAATGTTTACATACAAGCTAGCTCGTGTAGCTTACTATTCCACCGTTTAGCGTGTTGACGTATGTAGATGCTTTCCGGGTCAATTATGTCGGTGAAAAATAAAAACGAGGTCGCAGGACGTTTTTTTTTATTCAATTCATTTTTTTATGTTCGAATTTTGAGTTATAGATAAAGTCAAATTATAAAAAAAAATATTTTTTTTTAAACACATTTTTTTATTGTTTAAATATCCAATGAAAATTAACCATGACTTGAGACGTTTTTTTTAAAGTTAAAATTAGTTTTTTGTTTTTTTTAAACTGAACCAATTCGGTTCGTTGACCAACTCGGCCGGACAGAGCCGTGCGGAGCGGCTCCTCCTCGGACTTCCCAGCTGTTCCTGTCAGATAACGGCCGTGTGTCCGCACGGCGTGCCGAAGCGGATGTAAACAGATAGAATTTCATTTATTTCTTTATTTATTCCAACGCCCGGACAGGTAAATATGTGCGAGTTAGCTGTCGTCTCTAACGAGGGGGCCATTAAGCAGCTGGGGCTCGTGGGTGCGCGTGGCGGCGTCACGCCCTGCTGGTGCAGTCCGGTGGGACGGTAGCAGTTATGGAGCCAGCACGGGAGGGTTGGACGCCAAATGTGCTGTGAAAATACACTTGCCTTTCCTTGATATAGCAGCTAAAGGGTTAATATAACTGTCCACTAACATTAATCAGCCCGCTGTTAGTAATAATAGTAATTAATTGATGTCAGTCACTAATTACTCTTAAGAAACAGGTTCTTCCTTGAAATGTAACAGTTCCCGTTTTCAGTTCTCCATCACCTTGATTTGTAGATGTATTGAAAGTTTTTTTAGATTAAATTTTGTATAATTCTTTGTCTGTTTCGCCCACCATTTTCAACTTAACAAGCACTATGTTGTGCAAATGTTCTGCAATGTTGTGCAAAATGGAAGTAGTCAAGTGTGCTAAAGGGATAGATTCAAATGCCCTCCAGTCTTGCGTCTGTTCTATTGTTTAAATATTTGATCTCTTCAATAACGGCAGCTGAAATGGCCTCAGGAGGGGCCTCAGCTCCAGCGGCTCCAGCGGCCCCACATCTGGCCACCAAAGTGGAGCTGACCATCTCCTGTAATAACCTGATGGACATGGACGTCTTCTCCAAGTCGGACCCCCTGTGCGCCTTGTACATCAGCGCCTCCGGCTCCCACTGGTATGAGGTCTGTGTTGGGACGCTCACTCGCACCAGTTCCGTCGTTTTGACCAACAAAGTCGACGGTAGCTGCCTTTTGCTGACATGTTTCCTCTTCTGCCGACCAGTTTGGGCGCACGGAGATGATCCTCAACTGCCTGAACCCCAAGTTTGCGAAGAAGTTTGTCCTGGACTACTACTTTGAGATGGTGCAGAAGCTAAAGTTTTGCGTGTACGATATCGACAACAACACCTACGATCTGAGCGATGACGATTTCCTCGGCGAGCTCGAATGCACTCTGGGACAGGTGAGCTTCAGTTTATGCGGCGGCGGAGAGAAAACAACCTTTCTGTTGTGTTTAGATGCCACTTTTTGGTTCCAGATTGTTTCAAACCGCCAGATGACTCGACAGCTGCTGCTAAAGAACCAGAGACCTGCAGGCAATGGCACTATTACCGTGAGTGGATTTAGTCACGGGGCGCCACAGTGGTGTGGCGGTTAGCACACCTGGGTTGGAGTTCCCGGGGGAACTAGGACCTTTCTGTGTGGAGTCCACATGTTCTCCCTGTATCTGTGTGGGTTCCTGGCTTCCTCCCACCGTCCAAAAACCTGCATTGGTTGATTGGACATTCCAAATTGCCCTTAGGAGTGAGTGTGTGTGGTTGTTGGTACTTGTGTGTTTCTGTGTTGCCCTCCGATGGACTGACGGACTGTCCAGGGTGACCCTGCCTCTCGCCCATTGACCACTGGGATAGGCTCCAGTTCTTCCCGCTACCCCGTTACGGAATAATTGGAAACGATAATGGATGGATGGATTCAGTCACTTTCATTCAAAAGATATGTAGAGAGACGGAATGAGCCGTCTTCTGGTGTGTTCAGAATAGGACTTTCTTTCGTTTCTTCATTCCTGTTTTGCTACAGATCTGTGCTGAGGAAATAACGGACAACAGAGTAGCAAACTTCGAGGTGTGCGGACGCTCCCTGGACAAAAAGGTAAAGCAGGCGGCCGCACAGTTTGGAGTCGTCCCGACTGCATTTGACTCTGCGTGCCACGAAATAACTGCTGGGGCGTGGCTGTTTTTCAGTTTCTGTGGTGGTCGGATCCGTTCCTGGAGTTCTACAAGCAAACGGAGACCGGGTGGCAGCTGGCTCACAGGACGGAGGTAAGGGGGGGGGGGGGGGGGGGGGGTGAGTCCAGCTGGCTGTGCTTTGGGGCTCATTGGGTCCTTTTCATTCAGGTTATCTACAACAACCTAAACCCAACATGGAGACCCTTCCGCATCTCACTGCGATCCCTCTGTGGAGGAGACGTGGAAAAACCCATAAAGGTCTTTTTTTATTTTTTATTTTAAAGTCAGCCTGCCTTGAATAATTAACCTTTCTAACATGTACTAATCTGTTTCAATAATCTTCTTTTTAAGAAAGCTATTTTTTCTCTCTCTGTCTCTCTCTATATATATTATATTTTTTGTATATTTTAAAGAAATATTTCTTTCTATTTCGTTATTCTTTGAATTTCTCTAATATTATTTTCACATACTAATAAATCATTCTGAAACTTAATTTGTTTTTCATATTAACATGCTACGCAATGCAAGGGAGTGCTTGCAACCGGCTGGATAAGCGATGTGTGTATGTATGCACGACTCATGATCTCTGCACGTTCAGTGGATGAAATTAACCTCTGTTCTGTTTTGTTTATATAGAATCAAGGAGAAGTCCATATTTAATGCCAATTACAATCCAGTCATTCCAGTAATCCAATCAAATTGAAATCGTTGCATTCTATATTGATCTCATTCATATGCAGGAAATTGCCCAATAAGGGAAACCGACATTCTTTCCAAAACTTCTCTTAACTTCAAATCCCCCATCCTGAGCACGCACGAGGTGGTGGTGGAAAAAACTTCCTTTTGATAACAAGTCTCTGGCAGAATCAGTGTTTCCCTGTAGCACAGCTATGGGATGTTTCAGGGTCGTCTGAGTCATCCGTTTTTTTAGAAAGGAAAGCTTAAAGTGTAATCTTAAAGAAAGAGAGTGTCTCCACTTCCTGGATATACACTGTCAGTTGGTCCACAGAGAGGATTAACGCATGAAACCAAAACTTTTAGGAACTGTAGGAGCTTAAATGAGCCCGCTGACTGAGAGAGAAGTGCACAGTTTCTGAAAATATTTCATTCTGAAATCTTTTCGACAGGACTGAGCCTCTTTAGTAAGAGCTATGTGTCAACCACGTCATTTGAAACTGTATTATGAATTTAGATTTGAATTGAGTCTTGATTCGACAATAAGAGGATATCGCCTATCATATGTAAAGGTTAACTTTTAGGTCTGTTTAGAAATTTACCTATAATTCCTTAAAAATTCCATTCAAATGTTTTACAATAAACTTAATCATCTTATCTTCATACTTAGTTGATGGTCTTCAAAATGATTACGATGAATTATTTTGGCCGTTGTATTAAGTCTTTTTTCTGTGTCCTCAGGTGGACTGTTATGACCATCATGTCAATGGGTCCCACAGCCTTATCGGGAGCTTTAAAGCCACTCTGGCCCAAATGTTGCTGGGAACTCATCTCTCCCCGGTAAGGCGATGTTTTGCGTGGACGCGTTTGCTGCCAATTTTTACTTTATATTAACATGACTCTGGCTTTCATTTTCAGGAAGAATTTGAATGCTTAAACCCCAAAAAGTCGAGGAAGAGAAACTATAAAAACTCTGGGATGATATGCATAAAGCGCTGCCAGGTGAGAAAAAGAAAACATTTTCGAATAATTACGAAAATTCAAAAGGCTTTTTCGGGCTTCCTTTTTAACCAATACAAAGCGAGCGTGGCCATCCTGGTAAATTTCTTCTTGCTTTGCCGGTCTGTGGGATCAGGGTGAGCTTCCTGGTAACCCCTGATGAGATCAGGATCCAGGATGAAAGATGTGGGAACCCCGGGGTTCATAGAAAACCACTTCCCAGGTTACTTAATAGCATAGCAATAAGGGGTGGGCAGGAGATCTTCTGGACTGGACATCGGGCTTGACATTCTTGGTGCCGTGTCTGTAAGCGCTAAAACAGCCACAAAAAAAAGGCCTACCAGCCCTCTAGATGCACTGGGGATCTGTGTAGATGGTGTAATGTTGTTCAAATTCCTCAAAACAATGCCCCCATTCTTCTCAGGCCAACTCCTCCACCTACTGTTCTCAGTTGCTCACCCCATAATTTCCCTCAGTGGATAAAAGGCAGAAAAATGTAGGGGAGGGTTGAAACTTGCCAGTCTTGGAAGAGACTTGAGAAAGCACCATTCCTGAACACACACACACACACACACACACACACACACACACACACAGACATACACATCCAATGCATTAAGCTTGAGGATGAAGTGGCAGCTTGGGTCAGTTGGATGGAGTACAGAGTCAGATGGGTGGTGTGGTGGTCAGCACCATTGCCTCACAGCAAGAGGGTTCTGGGTTCGAGTCCCCGGGGTAACCGGGACCTTTCTGGGTGGAATCTGCATGTTCTCCCTGTGTCTGCATGGGTTCTCTCCGGGTTCTCCGGCTTCCTCCCACCGTCCAAAAACCTGTATGTTAGGTTAATTGGACATTCCAAATTGCCCTTAGGAGTGAGTGTGTGTATGCGTGGTTGTTGGTCCTTGTGTGTCGCTGTGTGGCCCTCTGATGGACCGTCCAGGGTGTACCCCGCCTCTGTGAGTACACCCTGGGATAGACTCCAGTCCCCCCTGTGACCACATTGGGGAATAAGCAGTTACGATAATGGATGGATGGAAAATTTGATATTAGAATCTCTTACATGAGAGTAGATCCAACTTCTACATAAATATATGTATATATAAATAGGAATGGATGCTGTGTTATCTTATCTTATTAAAGACATTAATCACATTTTAACGTATTTAAGTCAAAATATCAAGTCCTAAGATCAGGCTCTTTAATAATACGAGGTTAGTGTCATTAAAAATTCCATTTACTCCACTGTGCTTGCAACATTAATGCAACAAAACTGTTGTAGATTTTAGAAAAACACATGCTTCCCTCAAAACATCATTTATTTAACAAAATCTCACCTGAAATTTGTCACCACTTGGTATCCAAAACATCTGCGCGTCTGTCATTTGTTTTAAGAAGGTAAAAGCTTTACCATCCCAGGATTGTGGCAACATGTAGTGAGCCTAAGATATAAAAATGGATGTTTATTGATAGAAAAAACTAAAACTGGGATAAAACATTTCAGTATGATGTCTGGGGTTCCTACTATCTGCTGAAGCTCACTGTTGAACACAATCACTGTGATATTTCTATATTTTTAGGTGGAGAAGGATTACACCTTCCTCGATTATGTAATGGGAGGCTGTCAAATTAACTTCACAGTGAGTTTGGAAATGCTCCACATCAAATTTTGACTGTCATTTGGAACCTGAAACGCCCCGCATGAGCTTGGCCTGCATCTTTTCTCTGACGTTGTCCAGATTGCCATCGACTTCACCGGCTCCAACGGAGATCCCGCCTCTCCCCAGTCCCTCCACTACATCAATCCTGAGGGGTACAATGAATATTTGAACGCCATCTTGGCAGTTGGTAATGTCATCCAGGACTATGACAGGTAATATCAAAGTTAAAGGGCTGAAAGATTTCAAGGTTTCTGTATCTGTCCACTGAAAAGCTTGTGTAATACTCGCCCTTTATTCTGTCTGTCTCTATTTGTAGTAATAAGATGTTTCCTGTATTTGGTTTTGGAGCACAGATCCCTCCATCCTGGCAGGTATAAAACATTGAAAGGTTTTTAATAAGAACATAAATGATCTGATTTTGAATATTTCAGTGTCCCCAAAATGTATGAAATGACAGGCCTCAGATTTCCTTTAGGTCTTTTAAGTTATCTTCTCTATAGCCTTGTAAGCCATGTTCAATCTTTCTCTGAATAATAGTTTAAAAGTTGAGAAAATATCTGAAGATATCTCACAAACTCCTTCCACTGTTTGTCAGGTGTCTCACGAGTTTCCAGTCAATTTCAATCCATCTAATCCATTCTGCGCTGGTAGGTTGAAATTGTTTTTGTATTTCTCCCCTAAAAGTTGTCCGTTTCTGATTCGGTGCTGCCACCTTGTGTCGGCGGGTGTCTGTGTGTGCTGCAGGCATAGAGGGGGTGGTGCAAGCCTACCAGCAGTGTCTGCCTCAGGTGAAGCTCTGGGGTCCCACCAACTTCTCCCCAATCATCAAACACGTCACGCACTTCGCCAAACAAGCTCTCCACCAGAATGCGGCCTCGGTAAGAGTATTTCCTGTTCGGATACATACGATCATCGTGGAAGCTCGTCTTAAAGGACACCGGGTGCCCTTTTGTTCCATGCTCCTGACAATATTAGGCTCTTAATGAAACGTCTTTAACATGCTTTGGTCATAATGCCGCGGTAATACAGAACTCTAGGCCTTTTTTTAAGCCTTTCATGGCAGCACAAGTTTATTTGCATAGCTCTTTTAATATGTAAGACTGTTCAAAGTGCTTTACATAGTTCTATAGATAAAAGATACAGACAAAATATATACAGTTCTCATTTGCACAGCGAAGTAGAGCTGTTTTCTCTCTGGATTAAACATCGTCCGAGTTGAGGCCTGGCTCACTTCTTCAGGATGACTGTTCAACAAAGTTTCACAGTAAATCCACAGGCCCGTGTTCCCCTGCTGTCAGCAACACGTAGATCACGCGTGCATAGCTGTAGCAGGACACATCATTGCTGCCTATTAGCTGGCTTAATGGAAGCATATACAGACTGAACAAAAGGGGTCCCAGGATTGACCCATGGGGAACCCCACAGGTCAGGCCCATCTGGTCTGAGACACAGTTCCCAATTTTTCCCTCATTTCCCTTTTCCCTCATGGCGCTTTATTCTCTCTAATGACCTAAGACCTTAGAGAAGGCGTGATTGATTTGCTTACCCAGTTGTCATGGGATGATATTAATATTATTATTAAGTGTTCCGTGCGCACGTTATACTACTTCGTTGCCAAAATTGAAAAAAATTTTTGAGCATGTCATCAGAGGGGTTCCGTATTAAGGAGAGGCTTAATGACAGCAGTTTTTAGGCCTTTATGAAATGTTCCAGTCTGGAGTAAGATGCTGACTAGATGAGTGAGTTGTGGTAACAAACCGCTCAGCACAGACTTTAGGAATCTAGTGGCTAACTGGTCCAGACGAACTCAGGCTGCAGATGGACTCTTCAACAGTTTTATCAGTGACAGGTATAAACTCTGTCAGCTTTAGATGTCTCAGTGGGGGTAGAGTAGTTATTTGTGTTGTTGAAACAATTATGTTTTTAATGCCTTGAACGTTGTCATTAAAGAATATTGAAACGCATGACATTTGGAGTTAGAAATGAGTTCCAAGGGCAGTGAGACTGGAGGGTTTGTTAATCTGCTCTCTGTAGCAAACAGGACACCAGAGTCCGCTGTTTTACGCAAAGTCTGGTTGAACACACTCGGCTTTTCTTTGTAGATCTCAAAATGCTTTGACTTTCCATTTCCGTTGGGCTGTTTGGCACTCCCTTTTCTGTGCCCTTTACAAAGCTGTTCATTGAAGCTGACTTCAGGGCATGAAACACACATTTTGACCCCACCCCCTTTTATGTGAACTGAGGCTCTGTTAAGATCATTCAGTCACTGTTAAACTGCATGGTAAGGTACATTTAGATCAAAATTACACTCAGTCACCCTTGACGCAAAATCTGCAGACTACAGATAAAATTGACAGGCTAAACAGTTTGTAGAACAAGATAAATCTTAATCAATCTGAATAGAAATACAGTAATAGGCTGTATTCAAAACAGAAAAAAAATAACATTTTTTTCCCAAATGTTTCAGTCTAGGGTCAGATCAAAGATACAGATGGTTGCACGGTAAAGAAAAATGAATACAATCTACAGAAATGAAATTATATCTGAGGCATGAGTCCCATTTTTCCCAAGCCCTTTTCCTTTTGGAATCTGAAGTTGAAAGTGCTGATGTTCAGCCATTGGTTTGTTGCAAATATTGTTGAAAATGGCCATCCACTGACTGAGACTGACTCACATCCACCGTAGGAGGGTCCCTGCTTAGCCATCACTTAGTTTTTGCCTTTTTTACTTGTTGACATCATTATTTTTTAAATGCATCTATATGCTTTTTACACATTTCGATGTATATCCTTCAGATAAAAAGACAAGCAGCTAAATTCAGGTTCATGCCCCATAATGGCCCTGAAAGCACAATGAACGCCCTTCCCAATAGGAAATTTGTGGTTCAACCTATATGTTTAGATGGCTTTACTGGGGTTCAGAAGTACCTGATACTATTTTTCCAAGAGAAGCATCTCCACATTTGTGAGCTTGTGAAGGCAATTAGTTTCCCACTTCTCTAATATCATATAGATTTTAAGCTCTTTCTCCCATTTTCCTTAAAATAAAATGTAGTTGGTTTTTAATTAAACAAAAATCCAATAAAGTTCTCTTATTAACATTTTTGGTTTGGAAGCCTTGATGGGTGTTTGTATCCTCAGCATCTCTCAGCGTCTGATCCTTTTTCTTTGATTTGTCCTGCCTGTCCGCAGCAATACTTTGTGCTGCTCATCCTCACAGACGGAGTGATCACAGACATGGACCAGACGCGGGCCGCCGTCGTGGAGGCCTCCCACTTCCCCATGTCCATCATCATAGTCGGCGTCGGCCAGGCAGACTTTAGCGCCATGGAGTTCCTGGACAGTGACGATAAACTGCTGAGATCGGCCTCCGGGAACGTGGCAGCCCGGGACATCGTGCAGTTTGTGCCCTTCAGAGATTTCCACGTAAGCGGAACCTTTGTACTGCTGGGACTAAGGTGCATGTCTGACGAATAATTCTCCTGTGCCAGATTTTAACTTCAATTCAATTTAATCTCACAGCTCTTTCCAAACAGAGCAGGTCAGACCCTACTCTGAGTTATTTACAGAAGCCCAACAATTCCCACCAAGAGCAAGCCCTAGGTGACAGAGGCAAGGAAAAACTTTCTTTTAGGAAGCAGAAACCTGGAGCAGAACCATGGCTCACGGTGGGCGAACATCTGCCTCGGCCGGTTGGGGGTGAGAGACAGAGAGGGCAAGAGAGAGAGAGAAGAACAGAGGGAGCAGAGAGAGGCAGCCTACAGGGTAACGCATAGACTGGATGAAAAATGGCAATGATGTTGATACTAATGATAATGATAGCAGTTATGATAGTAATAAGACTATGAACAGTGGCTGTAATTGTAACAGAGTAGGACCACGGGGACAGCAGGAGATTCCCCATCACAGATCCAGCTTCACAGCTCCAGGAACACCTGCAGGAAGTGATAGGAGGAGACTCCCAACCACAGATCCAGACTCCACAGCTCCTGAGACAGG